TTTCTTGCCCTCTGGAGGATTTACCTCCCTTCCTGACAATTTTGAGAAAAAAAAACAATATTTTTGACTTTTTGCTATTAAACATGTCTAGGAGAAAAAATTTTTAAAATCAAATTTCGTCATAAATTTAGGCCAAAATGTATTTTGCTCCATGTCTTTGCTAAGAAAAAATCCAAATACGTGTACATGTAAATTAATTGGTTTACGTGAAAGTTATAGCGTTTACAAATGGCAGTATAGATACTGGAATTTTTTTTCTTACTAGTAATGGTGGTGATCAGCGACTTATTATGGGACTGCGGGACTTCGGCGGACATTCTGACACTTGGGCGAACTGATTTGGTGTCACCGACATCCCCAGTGCCCCCTACCTGGAAATGCAAAATCACGTAAATATATACGTGATTTTGCACACCCGTGCCACCCTGTAGCAGTATTTCTGCTATAGAGGGGTTCGGGAAGCGGTTAAAATAAAAAAGAGGTTATACTTACCTGCTCTGTGCAATGATATTACACAGATCAGTCCCTTACCATCTCCTTTAGAGTCCCCCACTGGCATCGCCACTCTTCCTTCCTTCCTCCTAGTGCCCCCTAAGCAAGCCGTGTGCTAAAGAGGCACCAGTGTGGGAGCACTCCCAAGCCGGACTGTGTGTGTCCATAGACACGCACAACACCGGTAAACCACACCTCACTCCTTCCTCACAGGAGTTTGACTGACAGCAACATGAATCCCACTGCTGCCTGCGTCTCCGGTGAGACCAGAAAGTGGAAGTACGGTGCTGCAGTTAAGACAGTGCTGGATTGTTAAGGCCAGGTAGGTGTTTAGGTGCAGGGGGGCTAGGACAGGTAGTTGAAGTTTTTTTTTTTTACCTTAATGCATGGAATGCACCCCCTGTTTAACCCATTTCTGTCTGATTTCCCTGATCCAGCTGAATACTATCAGCATGGGGCTCCCAGAATCCCTGGAGTGGTCACTTAAGCTGGTCCTGTGTGCAGTATGTGAGAGCACAGTGGGCCCTATCCCCTTTAGGGCCCATGTGCCCCACACACATTGCACACATGGAAAATACACTAATGATCAGAATTAAAGAACAACCATTGACTAGCTGTTAACTTCAACATTAGCCATGCGTGGGAAACTGTCAAATGTGAGTGCAAAATCAAGTATACTACGTCCACAGCCACATCTTTGTCTAAGTTTTTGTTTACTTTCTCATAAAAAGAAATCAGATTTGTTTCACAACTTCTGTCTGTCATGAATCCATACTGATGATTGCTTAAAATATTGTTTTCTAGCAAAAATGTCTCTATGGTTTGTTTATTAAACTCTCCCGTATCTTCCCAACTATACAAGTTAAAGCGGAGTTCCACCTTGAAAAAAAAAAAATAAAGGTCAGCAGCTACAAAAACTGTAGCTGTTGACTTTTAAAATACAGCTACTTACCTGTTCATCGGCCGTCTTCTCTCACTGGTGCCGGCATCTTTAGTGTGGGCACCCGGCTGTGACAGCTTGCGGGTTCACAGCCGGGTGCCTACTGCGCATGCGCGAGAAGTGCTGCGCTTTGTGAATGGACCCCTGGTCTTCTGGGATCTGTCACATGTCCTAGAAGACTACGGGGAGGGGGGGGGAGGACAACTTCTGTTTCCGATCGACTAGGCAATCACAGCGGAAGTGGGAGCGGGTACCTGTCAAATTCGGGTACCTGCTCACCAAAGGTGCCAATCCTTAATGGGGTGCAGGGGACAAAGGCTTAAAGTGGAACTTCCCCTATTAGGTAGAGCTCCGCTTTAAAGACTTCTATCTTTCATGAATCCATGCTGTCTGTTGCTTAAAATATTTTTTTCCAGCAATAACTCATCTATGTGGTCTTTTATTAAACTCTCCAGTATCTTCCCAACTATAGAAGTTAAATTAACAGGTCTGTAAATACTTGGTAAATACTTTGATCCCTTTTTAAATATAAACACAACATTGGCCTTACGCTAATCCAGTGGTACTATGCCAGTCATTAAAGAGTTTCAAAAAAACAATGTCTTTTCAATAATAGAGCTCAACTCTTGAGCACACATATGGTTCGTGTGCTTTATTCATCTTTATTTTACCTAAATGTTTCTGGACCATTTCAATTTCAAGCAATTGTGGTTCATTTCGTCATTATGTCAACAATATCATCCTCATTATAAATTTGAGCTCCCCCATTTTAATGTGCATTCACAGCTAAAAACCAAGAAGGTATTTAATAAATTTGTTTTCTCTTTGTCCTCAGTCACCAACTCTAGACTATCTTGTAAAGGGCCTACATGCTCAAACCTGACCTTTTTTACTATGAATATATTTGAAGAATTTTGAGGGGCTTGTCTTACTCCCTTTTGCAACCTTGCAACTCTTTTACATATTTTGTTATATGCTTTGTAATTTTTAAATGATGATAGTGTTCCTTCATCTATTTTAAATGCTCTTTTCTTTTTATTTATAGCTTTTTTAATGGATGTGAGCCAAAAACACAAGTATGCAGGCATGCACTGGGGGCTTTCCGATCCCGCTGGTAACTGTGCTGGGAGTGTGCTTTCAGCACAGAAAAGTGTTCACATAGAGCTGCATAAATGCGGCTTCTCGACACTAAAGCCCACCTGCCGAGAGGCCACATATATGCGTACCATTGTAGGTAAGAGGTTAAAGTCCATATTCCCTCCCAGCATAAATCTTGGAGAGCAGACCTCAGCCTTGGTTAATTAACTTATTGTTTACAGATTGCATTAAATTAAATCATGTTTCGGTCACTGCTACCCAGATGTTCTTTTATATGAACATTAGTCATAAGTTCTATAATGTTTGAGATTAACAGGTCCAACAAGCATCATTTCTAGTTTAGACTTCTATAAAATATACCAAAATTGTCTTGTAAATGGTTTATAAATGTTTGCCCTGTAACTGTTCCAGCAATGCCATTACCCCTTCAATGTCAGGGATGTTAAATGTATTATTATCACTGTCCCAGCCATTGCAGCCCATTCTATCTGTGCAAGGAGGATTGGGTGGCCTATAACAAACTCTAATGATTAACTTTAAAGTGGTTCTAAAGGCTCAAGGTTTTTACCTTCATGTATCCTATGCATGAAGATAAAAAACCTTTTGAGTGTAGTGGCTCCCCCCAGCCCCCCCCCAATCCTTACCTGAGCCCCCTCTGATTCAGCGATGTTTTCGACAGCCTCTGCTGTCTGGAGACTCTTCCTCCTCATTTGCTGAGACAGCAGCGGGAGCCCATTGTCTCCAGCTGCTGTCAATCACAACCAGTGAGCCAATGAGGAGAGAGCAGGGGCCTGGGCCGAACCACAACTCTATGTGTCTTATGGATGCATAGATCAGCGGCTTGGGGACAAGCATGCAGTGGTGCCACCAGGGTAAATGGCTTTCCCTGGGGGCAATGCTTGAGGGATAGGAGCCAGGAGCGCTGGCGAGGACCCAAAAAGAAGAGTATTGGAGTTGCTCTGTGCAACATCACTGCACAGAGCAGGTAACTATAGACATGTTTGTTATTTAAAAAAAAAAAAAAAAACACCAAAGCTTTAGTATCACTTTAAAATATGCATACTTATATGCAGTTCCACCCATAATCCTTCACCCTAATCACACTCTCCATCAACAAGGTCCTCTTTCACACTCGCTTTGAGATCACTTCTCACACAGAGACAGACACTGCCACCTTTTCATTTTACCTTGTCTCTCCAAAAGATAGTCCATAATATTTATAGCCCAACCATGTGAAGAATGAAGCCAAGATTCAGCAACACCAGTTAAATCATAGTTCTCTTCTAGCACCAAAGCTCCCAACTCTTCTATTTTGCTTGGCAGACATCTGGCATTGGTGAGAAAACACTTTAATTTCATTGTCACATTTTGCACTTTGTGTTTTGTGTAACTTATTTAGTGATAAATAAAGTAATATAATTGCCAATGGTTGTTTTATAACATGGGTACCTGCTTGTTACCTAACATAGTCGCCAGACCCCATCTAACTTGACCATTATATTCTGATTCTTCTTCTTCGCCCTCAATCCAAGATCAGATACTCACCAGCCTTCCCATAAATGTCTCCCTTAGCACAGAAGACCCCCTTCCATTTATGCGCAAACCTAAATTATTGGACATGATAGGATTGGACATAATTCAGCATGATTAGACAAATACCACTTTATCTCATTCTCTGAGTGAAGCATTAATTCATTTTCCAAAGTGAACACACTCTTTACAAACCGAACATGCTCTAGTTTTTAACAATTTCCAGCCCAGAGGCCATATATTTATGGCCTTGGGAGGAAGCAGTTATACCAGGATCATGACGATATCTGCAAAAATTTTCCTGGTATTATTCTGTAGAGTTGGCAACCGGCTTTCCAGTAAAAGTGATTCAAGCAGCTATATAGTTGCCCAATCAATTTTACAGCGCATTTTACAGACCCCCTCCCCCCACAGCTCTGCCGCTGTCTGCCACAGTTCCTGGGCTTTCCTGTTCCACCGGGGAGCCCAGAACCCCTGTAAGCAGTCGGGTCTGCTGCGCACAGAGGAGAAGATTGAACATTCCTCCATTTCTTCTGTGAGGAGTGAAGCCAGAAGTGACGAGGAATTTGCCAATTCCAATTTCAGTTCGGTGTTTTCCTGCTGGAAGCAGCCAATCAAACAGATCTCTGTTTCATTAGCCACCTTGGAGGGCAGAGGAGGAATCAAGAGTCTAATAGACCCCTGATCTCTCAATAAAGAGAAACTGTCACTGCCCAAGCTATCACAAAGGGTCCCTTGTGATAGCAATAAAGTTGAAAAAAGTACTGTTCTCCTGGCAACCGCCAAACCCAGACGGATCGGATTGCCATACAGAGAAGTGTGATTTGTCACTTCTTAGAACTAGTCTCCACTGCTCTAGAGTGCAGTGGCGGCGTGCTTTACACCACTGCATCCGACGCTTTGCATTGCACTTGGTGATGTAAGGCTTAGATGCAGATGCTTGGCCATGGAAAACCATTCCATGAAGCTCTCTATGCACTGTTGTGCTAGTCTGAAGGCCACATGAAGTTTGGAGGTATTTAGCTATTGACTCTGCAGACAGTTGGTGACTTCTGCACACTGTGCACTTCAGCATGCACTGACCCCACTCTGTCACTTTACATGGCCTGGCCTACCACTTCGTGGCTGAGTTGCTGTTGTTCCCAGTTGCTTCCACTTTGTTATAATAGCACTAACCATTGACCGTGGAATCATAAGTAGTAAGGAAATTTCACGAATGGACTTATTGCACAGGTGGCAACCTATCACGGTACCACGCTTGGATTCACTGAGCTCCTGAGAGTGACCCATTCTTTCACAAATGTTTGTAGAAGCAGTCTGCATTTTATACACCTGTGGCCATGGAGGTGTATGGAACACCCAAAATCCAATAATTTGGAGGGCTGGCCCAATACTTTTGGCAATATAGTGTATATTGCCAGAACCTGTTATATATTTTGATATTTTAGGTCAGTGATCTCCAAACTGTGGCCCGAGAGCATTATTCCCCCCACTCTCAGCAACAGGAGCATAGGTCCTGCCACTGATAACAACAATGGGGCACTATTCCTCCCACTGACATGAATTATAGGGCACTATTCCTCCCACTGATACCAATGATGGGGGCATTGTTTACTGCACTGGCACCAGGACATTTTCTACTCTCCGCTAGGCACAGTATGCCCCCCCTAAAGTTTGAAGGACGGTAAACTGGTCCTTTGTTTAGAAAGCTTGGAGACCTCTGTTTTAGGCCAATGATGTAGACTAGTTTTGAAACATGACCTTGCAGCCTCTCACCACTAGAGAGAGGTCTTGCTTTACAAGTTAGAATACAGATACGTACATTTGTATGAAGTGTTATTAAACTGTGTATGAAAATATAAATCCCAACCACTAGGTGACAATCTTGCTGTACATAATTTGATTCCTGCTAAGCCTCAGTCAGTTCTATATTGCTGACATTTATTTAAAGAATAAGTTCACCTTTTAGACGAAAATAATAAATGCACATTTTTTGCAGTTAAAAAATGTGCATTTATTATTTGTGTCTACAGGAGCCTGGAAAGCATTGCACTAGTGATCAGTAAATCGCTGATGCCATACAGGTCTCCTGCAGACCTGTCAGAATATCTGTTTGCCGTACGGGATGCATGGTCAAGCAGATATTCTGAAAGGAAGTTTAATGAATTAGCGCGGTGCTCCGCAACGCTGTGGTAGTTAATTGAAAACTACAAGCCCACAGCCGGAACTTGCAGTTCATTCATTCACGGACGTCCGTGAATGAGTGACACGGCAGGGTGGGCAGAGCCCCGCATGACCGCGCTGTTTTCAAATCTGACAGATAGTATGGGGAAACTTCTCCCCGTACTTTCTGTCATAGGGGGGGGGGGGGGGGTGGTGGTGGTGGGGGCGCAGCTGCCGGTATGGGTACATGTTACATGTTCCACCCTAAATACAGGTGAATCAAATAAAATGTTCCCAAAGGTGAACTTATCCTTTAAAGGCTAACTCAATCTTTTCCAAAAAAAGTATCAATATTGATTAATAAAAAATATGCATTTATTATTTTTTGTATTTGAGCCAGTGATCAGTGGCTGTGCGGAATTCTGTCATACATGCTAACATCGGGACAGGTAGTGAGTCCAGTACTAGGGTGATAACTCAGAATCTACTCCTGCAAAACTAAAAAGCAGTCGAAGATGTATTTGACTGGATTTCCACCCGTACAGGGGGAATGCCTGATCAATCACCATCACAAACATAGAAGTGATCGGGTTACCCAGATCCCTTCTATAGTAAAGGCTAAAGCCAAGCTGTCAGCTGACGTCACAGAGCCACTCCAGTCTCTAGATGTATCCCATCAATAATGTCAGGATCCACCCAGATTTCTGATCAGCAGCTGGCTCAGCCTCTCAGCATACCCCTAAGAGCCTGAGCCAGCCTCTCCTACCCAGTGAGCACTGGAAGGGCAGTGCAGATTCGAGAGCTGAGTGACCAGTGGCCATGTGATTGCTCAGTTCTCAGGCTTAGAGTTAGCGGGAGACAGCTGCAACATCGGATCGATAGGTCAGTATAGATGTTTGTTATTTTGCTTTCCCACACTATTCTTTTAAAGAATCTTTTTACTACACTGCCATAGCACAGTTACTGCAGTAACATTGAAAAGGTTAACTAAGCCCAGGATTTGAAGTGTAACCCCTCCAATTAATTTTAGATCAAATCCTACTGCACCCCCCCCCCCCCCACAGCAGTGTGCAGCTCTCTCTTGGAACATACATAAAAGTACTTCCAAAATTAGGCACTTGCTGGGATGAAGTCTATATCATGTACAGATTGCAGGTAGAAAGGGATTATTGCAGAATTGCTGTTTTCGGCGATTTCCTTCTCAATTGTTCGGTGCAGTAGTACTCTGAGCCCAGGCCAGTGAGATGATACAACCCCAGGGAGTACATCCATGACAGCCTAGGCTCACAGGTATTAAGTCAAATGATGATGGCTGTCATTCAAATCAAGCCAGAAGAAAAGCAAAATCTTGTGGAGAAGCAGACCTACTATAGGAGACAGCACCAGATTGCAAGCAAGCATTGCAGAAAAATATGCTTTTTTATTTTTAAATACTGCTCATTTGGTTTTTCTTTTCTAAGAATTTTACAAAGTATACAAAAGAAAGAAGAACACTGTTCTAAGTTGAATACGAAAAAAGAAATGCTGGGTCAAAAGATACAGGGCCATTAAAACTGGCAAAGATCACAGAACAGAAATTTCATCTTCCTAATGTAAGAGCATACCAGCAGGGTCTGGAAAGCAGGAGGCATGACTCTAGCACCTGTGTCCGTAGCCAACAAACTATCAACCTAACATTGGTAAAATGGTAAAAAAAGCAAAAGCAAATGAATGCTGAAACTCCTGCATTGGACGATGAGCTCCACAATGTCAGTGACCCCACATGAGGTACTTATTGGGAATGCAAGCCTTGCCGCCCTTATTGGACCAGGGGAATCCAAAGGAACTGTGTGCAAAGAAAGAAACAGAGGGTCCACAGGCCTAGTGCATTACCTTCTAAAAATGAGATTTATTGAGCTCTGAGGAAGAGGTTCAGCCTCGAAACGCGTCAGCCATTTGGAGGTCTACAGTCCCCTAATAGCTACCATCTAGGGAGATTGGACCTTGCTGTCTTTCTTGTGATGTGCCTTTGATTTTATTGTTTTTTGAGTATACTACTTTTTATTCAATAAATCTCATTTTTAGAAGGTAATGCACTAGGCCTGTTCACCCTCTTGTTTGTTTCTTTGCACACATTGGTAAAAAGGTGACAGAAGCATCATTCCAGTCCAAAGATAAAGTTGAGCTAGAACACAATAGGTTTGGAGAGAAGAAACATGAATCAAAAGACTAAAAGTGTTTGAAAAATAGAAGCAGAGATGAGCTTAGAAAAGGGAGCACGAAGGGGGGAAAGATAAGGGGGGAGGGAGGAATCAGGGGGGCAAAAGTCATGAACCCAGTTGCAGGTTAGCCATAAGAGTGGTGCCATGAGTGTGGTTGGGTTCATGTAGGTGAGCTCATAGATAACCCGGGGGGCACAAATCTTAGTGACACTAAACTCTGGTTTAAAAAGAAACAAAAACTATTCAAGTATGTATTCTTAACTGAAAGCCCCTTCTATTGTCCCCATTCTCCTCCAAATCTCCATATGACTTTGTTTTTGAAGCTGTGATCTTACTTCGTGTTAAAAGGTTCATTCTACATGGTCCCACTATATGTAGAAATGTGGCCACCCACTCTTGCTCACTCTGAGATGTGTTTAGTAACACTTTAAAGTAGAACTTTAGGCAAAACATTTTTTTTTTCATTTTAGATGCAGTAAGGGAGAGTTATAACCTCTTTCAGTTTATTTTTTTGCCATCTGCGTCCCATTGGGGAGATTTACCTTCACTTTCTGTCCCATAACCAAAGGAGGAAATCCCTACAAATTAGGGGAATACGTTGGGGACACCCAGGTCACCAGAACTAGTGTCCCCACAGGAAGATTTCCGCTCTATTACTTTTCTGGGGAAAATCCAAAATTTGGGATTTTCTTTACTTTCAATAATAAGGGTAAATAGGCCAGGTAGGGAAAAAGTGAATCACCCTAATGGGGACACAGACAGCAGTAAAAACTGACAGGTGTTCTAATCCATCTCCCCTCTATCTAAAACTAAAAAAAAGTTTTGCCTTTAGTACATTAACATCGCCAACTTCATTACAGCTCTGGAAGCACTTATTCAAAGCAGTTGAATAATATTGAGCTATCCTAAAGGGGACCAATATGTTAGCACCTTGTATACTGACTCTTGGGAAGTAACGTAGGAGAAACATTTAGAAATGTGACCAATCCTTGTTGGTTTTACAGACAGGGAAGTCCATGAGTCTTGGTGAGTGCCTCAAAATACCCAAATGTCCTCAGAACAAGAGCCAGCATATATTGCCCAAAATGTAGGGGAGTGATTGAGTTGATGTCCAAAAACAAAAGGCTGGACCAAAAAAAAAACAATGAGTAGTAGTACAAGTAGGGAGTAGTGTAATATCATGTCAAAGGCATTGAAGATACTGATTAACAACAAAACCCCAGGTAGGGGAGGAGCCTTGTCATGGCGGTGTAGGAGAGCACGGAGCGGGTGCTCTCCGAATCACCTACACCACCCCAGATGCCTGCACAAGAGTGACCCGGGGACTTACCCACGAGCGACGGCTCTAGAGCGGGTTCGGCGGCCCGGGAGTGGAGAGAGGAGGGTGTGCTGGGCAGCGGGGCTTGCTGCAGGAGGTCCGTACTGACGTGCGGGGCTGCTGGGAGAGCGGGGAGTCACGGAGCAGACACGTGGGAAACCGCAGAGCACTACTGGGAAGGGGAGAAAGCTGGCCGGCATCTGAAGTGAGAGTGAGGACGCCGGCTCGCTCGCTCCCCCCTTGCAAACATACAGGAGAAGACACTCGTTTAATGGATGACCTGCTCCCCGTGTGTGTTAAGCTTATACACAGGGGAGTAGGGTCTGAGGAAGAAGACCCAGAGGAGTCCCCCTGAAGAGAGCAGTGGGAAGCTGAAGTTAGCAGCTGGTGGCTCGTGGCTGCCTCACCAGAAGAAAAGCAACCAGAGGGTGAGTGTGAGCAGCACGACCTAGCAAACTGTAATTATATGGTGACTGTATGTTTAAAGAGGGGTAGACTCCCTGGGGAAGATTGAGTATAAGAGGAACTAGCAGCCCTGCAAGAAGAAGGAGAGCATAGTGGGAAAGTGGAAAATAAGCACGTGTTGAAATCTAGATACCTGGTCTGTAGCTGTTAAACCAAGGTGGTTCCTGTATTTAACT